TTGGTTCATTTGCATTTGCTGAGGATTGTTTTATATCCAATTATGTGATTGCTTTTGGAGTACGTTCCATGTGGAGATGAGAAGAATGTACATTCTGTTGTTTTAAGGTGCAAAGTTCTATAGAGGCCTATCAGATCCATTTGATCTAATGTTGAGTTCAGGTCCTGAGTATCTTTAATTTTCTGCCTTGATGACTTGTCTAATACTGTCAGTGGAGTGTTGAAGTCTCCCACTATTATTGTGTGGGAGTTTACGTCTTTTTGTAGGTCTCTAAAAACTTGCTTGATAAATCTGGGTGCTCCTGTGTTGGGTGCATATATATTTAGGATAGTTAGGTTTTGCTCGATTGAACCCTTTACTAGTAATGCCCTTCTTTAATTTTTTTTTTTTAAATCTTCGTTGGTTTGAAGTCTGTTTTGCCTGAAATTAGGATTCTAAGCCCTGGGCTTCTTGTTTTATTTATTTATTTATTTATTTATTTATTTATTTATTTATTTGGTTTTCTGTTTGTTTGGTAGATTCTCCTCCATCCCTTTATTTTGAGCCTATGGGTGTCATTACGTGTGAGGTGAGTCTCTTGAAGATAGCATACCACTGGGTCTTGCTTTTTTATCCAGTTTGTTGCTCTGTGCCTTTTAAGAGGGGCATTTAACCTGTTTAGATTGAAGGTTAGTATTAACATGTGTGGATCTGATCCTGTCATTTTGTTGTTAGCTGGTTATTATGTTGGCTTGTTTCTGTGGTTGTCTTATAGCGTCACTAGTCTGTGTGTTTAAGAGTGTTTTTGAATTAGCTGGTAGTGGTCTTTCCTTTCTATATTGAGCGCTCTTTTCAAGATCTCTCATAAGGCAGGCCTGATGGTTAACGAACACCCTCAACATTTGCTTGTCTGAAAAGGATCTTTTTTTTTTTTTTTTTTTGAGACAGAGTCTCACTCTTTCATCCAGGCTGGAATGCAGTGGCGTGAACTCAAGTGATTCTCCTGCCTTAGCCTCCTGAGTAGCTGGAACTACAGCTGCCTGCCCCCCCAGCCAACTAATTTTTTTTTTTTTTTTTTTTTGTAATTTTAGTAGAGACAGGTTTCACCATATTGGCCAGGCTGGTCTTGAACTCCTGACCTTGTGATCTACCCACCTCAGCCTCCTAAAGTGCTGGGATTACAGGAGTGAGCCAGCTAGAAATGAAATTCTTTGTTGAAGAATTTTTTCTTTAAGAATGTTGTAGGCCCTCCTCAATCTCTTCTGGCTTGTAGGTTTCAGCTGAGAGATCTGCTGTTAGCCTGATGGGGTTGCCTTTGCAGGTGACCTACCTTTAACATTTTTTCTTTCCTTTCAATCTTGGAAAATCTGATGATTATGCATCTTGGGGATGATGTTCTTGTGTAGAGTATTTCAGGAGTTCTCTGCATTTCCTGAATTTGACTGTTGGCCTCTCTAGCAAAGCTAGGGAAGTTTTCATGGATGATATCCTGAAATATGTTCTCTAAGTCATATGCTTTCTCTCCCTCCCTTTCAAAGATGCCAATGATTCATAGATTTAGTCTCTTTACATAATCCCATACTTCTCGGAGGTTTTGTTCATTCCTTTTTATTCTTTTTTATTTTTGTCTATCTTATTTCAGATAGCCAGTCTTCAAGATCTGAGATTCTTTCCTCAGTATGGTTTATTCTCTTGTTAGTACTTGTGATTGCACTGTAAAATTCTTATATTGTGTTATTCAGCTCTGTCAAATTAATTAGGTTCTTTTTTATACCAGCAATTTTGTCCTTCAATTCCTGTATTGTTTTATTGTGATTCTTAGTTTCCTTGGATTGGATTTTTCTGTACACCTGAATCTCAATGATATTCATTCCTATTCATGTTCTGAATTCTACTTCTATCATTTCAGACAGTTCAGCCTCATTAAGAATTCTTGTTGCAGAAGTGGCACAGTCACTTGCAGGACACTCTGGCCATTTGAGTTACTGGAGTTCTTGTGTTGGTTCCTTCTCATCTCTGCATATGGGGTGTTCCTTTAACTGCAGTGTAGATTAAGTAGTCAATAGACTTCTCTTTGGACATTTTCACAGGGTCAAGGCTTTGTGCAGGATCTTTATTTTATAGAAGCTGATTTCTTGTCTTTGGTTTCAGAGAGGGTACGTCAGAGAGGTATTTTTGGTGTTGAAGTTCTGGAGTGTGATCCAGCAGGTGGCACTTAGGTGTACTGATCAGTTGGCAGACTCTTGCTCAGATGGGTGGCTCCACAATTTCCTCACAATTGCAGTCATGCTCCCTCTCAATGCTCTGAAAGCATAGGTTCCTCCTCCCTTAAGTGTTGGCTGTAGATTGCAGCTTTGTGCTCCTGGGCTGTCCACTGCAGTTCTAGGGTGACCTCAGTGTTTATGTTCCTTCCTCAACAAATTCCCTGAGCGGGGGAGGTTCCCCTCCCTCTGTGTCACTTCTGGGTGGGCCTTCATCCTGTCTTGCTTTTCTCCATTCTCCATGGGTAGAGTTTTTTCCTTGATTAGTCTTGATGCATGTACTTGAATGATTCAACTATTTACTCACCCCTTCCATTCCTCCCTGTGAGAGCCACACATATTAGCTGCTTCTAGTCAGCCATCTTGGTGACCACCCCCCAACAATGTGTTTTACAATTAAGAAATATACTTCTAAATAATCTATGGATTGAAGAAGTAATCACAGTGGCAATCAACAAAATCAAAATTTTAGTGAAATGATAATGAAATACTCTAAGAACTGAGGTAAGCAAAGAAAATGCATAGCTATAAAAGACAGGAAAATCAAACAGCTAATCATCCATTTCAAAAAATCTGAAACAGCAGTGGAGAAGTTCAGGACTGCCACCCCAAAATACACTGCTATGGAACATTGATTATTTTGAGCTAAAGGTACTCTGACCTTCCTTTTTCTTCCTGAAAGCAGGAGATGAAACTCTCATGTGAAAAGTGCCCTCCTTGTGCCAGAGGAAAGACATTTTTAACACCAGTGATGAAAAATCAAGACCAAGAGAAATCTGTATACATAAACCTTAATAAACTAACCTTACCTTCCTAGCTTCTTCTCCACAATTAACTGTTCTAGTTGAAACTCCATATTCTTGTTACATTTTCACAATCTAATGCTCTTTGTCCTTCCTAGTATTATAAATATTCAGCTCTAACTGCTTTTTTGTGTCTTTGTTTTTCTGGCATAAGACAGACGTTATAACCAGAGAAAAGCATATGACCCTAGGAGGGTGGAGGAAAACTTTGCTTCCCTAAAGCAGCAAACCCCAAAAAAGTAAAAGAAAGGAAACAAAGTGTAGTAATAAATGTCAAAGAACACTAAAACACAAAAGAGAAAATGCCAAAAGTTAGTTCTTTGAAAAGAATGCAATTAATGAATACCAAGTGAGATTTAACAAAGAAAAAAACAGATAGCATAAATAACCAATAATATAGTTGATGAAGAAAACATAACAAATCCTCTGACCATTAAAAATATCCTAAAAGCGAATTACAAACAACTCAATACCAATAAACTTGAACATTTACTAGAAAAGTTTTAGTAAAATCCAACTTACTGAGAAATCCTAGAAAAATCCAACATGGAAACTTCCACAAGAAACAAAATCAGAATAGTCCTACTGGATACATAATTTAAAACCTTCCAAAGAATAAAATTACTGTCCTAGATTATTATACCTTATTAGTGAATTTTACCCAACAGTGGGGGCAGGGGGGTGGGAGACACATAGAAATTTTTTCTTTTTTTTTTTTTTGAGACAGAGCCTTGCTCTGTTTCCCAGGCTGGAGTGCAGTGGTGCGATTTCGGGTCACTGCAAGTTCCGTCTCCCGGGTTCACATCATCCTCCTGCCCCAGCCTCCCGAGTAGCTGGGACTACAGGTGCCTGCCACCACGCCTGGGTAATTTTTTGTATTTTTAGTAGAGACGGGGTTTCACCATGTTAATCAGATGGTCTCCATCTCCTTACCTCATCATGATCCACCTGCCTCAGCCTCCCAAAGTGCTGGGATTACAAGCGTAAGTGAGCCACCACACCCAGTCCAGAAATTTGTTTAACTCTTATTTTAAGTTCAAGGGTACATGTGCAGGTTAGTTATACAGGAAAACTCATGTCACAAAGGTTTGTTGTATAGATTATTTTGTCATTCTAGTATTAAGTCTAGTACCCATTACTTATTACTCCTGATCCTCTTCTTCCTCATACCCTCCACCCTCTGGTAGGCCCCAGTGTCTGTTGTTCCCCTCTATGTGTCCATGGACACATAGAAATCTTACACAGATTTTTCTAGGAAAGTGAAAAGTACAGAACATTAACCGAGTAGTATATAACTGTGATATAAAACTAGACAAGGACATTTGAAGACAGAGAAATTATAATTCATTGCTGAAAGTCAAAATCCTAAACAGAATAGATGAAGACCAAATCTGGTGACATATAAAACAGAGCACCATCATATGAGGTTTGGTTTATCCATTCAAAAAAATATATATTAATCGATATAACTGAGTACATTTAATAAAGAAGTTTATATGTTCATTGTAATAGACAACGAAAAAACATTTCATACAACTTATACCCACTTATGATAAAAACTCTTAGCAAACTGAATAGAAGGAAATCTCTCTAATCAAAACCTACAGAACACATCACTCAGTGGTGAAATGTTCAAAGTTTTCTCTTTGTGACAAGGTATCCTATTAATATTTCCATTCAACCTCATACAAGAGATCTTAGCCAGTGTGATACAGTAAGAAAAAATAAAAACTATAAGGATTAAAAATGGAGGTGGGAAGCTATCTATATCTACAGATAATGTAATTTTACATAAAATATCCAAAAGGATATGCAGATTATTAGAATTAATAAGTGTGAATAGCAAGATTACTGCATATAAAGGTCAATATACAAAAATCAACCGCATGCATATGCAATGGCTCATGTAATCCCAGCACTGAGGGAAGCAAAGGCAGCAGGACCACTTGAGCCCAGGAGTTTGAGACCAGCCTAGGCAACACAGTGAGAAATCCTTCTCCACAAAAAGAAAAAAAAAAAAATCAACAACACTCCTATGTATCAGTGACTGTCAGAAAAGGATTTTTAAAAGATAAATTTATAATTACACAAAAAAAGTACCAAATACTTAGATATAAATCTAATAGAAATGTGAAAAACTTCTGCAAGACAAAAAGCTATAAAATATTAATTAAAAATTAAAGTTCTAAATAAATAGAGCAGTATACTATGGTCTAGAATGAATTTTTTTAATGTCTATTTTTCTCAAATTAATTTATATATTCAGCAAAGTTAAAAGCAAAATCTCAACAGACATTTTTGGTAACTAGACACATTGATTTTATAATTAAGACATAAATATAAATGTCCAGAGTATCTCTCAATAGATTTTGAAAAAGAAGCATAACATAGGAGGACTTTGTATAAAGCTACAGTAATGAAGACAGTATGATACAGACTAAATATATTCAAATATCAAAAGAACAAAGAGTCTAGAAACAAACCTACAATATGTATGAACACTTGAATTTATGAAGTAGTTAGCATAGATAATGGAAGAAAATAATGCTTTCAATAAACTAAGTCAATTAAGTATCCATATAAAAGGAAAAAAAAACAAAGTTCTACCTCACAGTATACACAGAAACCAAGTCCAGTTGGATTACATATCTAAACGTGAAAGGCAAAACACAACTTTAAAAGGATATAGGAGAATATCCAAATGACCCTGGAGTATGAAACGATTTCTTAAACAGAAAGCACTAACCGTTAAGAACAAAAACTGATAAGGAGATTGACTAATTAAAAGGGACTTCCATTTATCAAAAGACATCATAAAGCCAGTGAAAAAGCAAAGAGCAGTGTGGAAGAGAGTGGCCACAGTTATAACAGAAACATAACCAGATTATTTAAAATTCTTATATATCAGTAAGACATATGGTTTGGTTTTGGTTCTGATTTTGACTTGGCTTAAATTGCTTGACGAACAGGTGAGCCTTTAACAACACTTTGGTTTTAGTTTTTATTTTGATTTAGTGTGAATTAGATGAGTGAGTGACCTTTTACCCTTTCATTCTTGTAGTGTGAATGTTGTTTTGTCTCAAGAGAAAAATAGGTCAGACACAAAGTAAGCCCACTCCGCTAGGAACTGTGTTAAAAAATTTCAAAAAGAAAAAAGGAAAGTCATCAAATTATCAAAACTTACTTTATTGAAGTGCATGTTACAGAACCTTAAGAAATGTTTTGCAGGAAATTATAGAGTTACGTTAATCCCTTAGAGGTGAAGATCTCTGTGTGAATTAGAACTGCCCTCTTTTGGTGTAGGATGGCCCACTGAAGGAACTATAGACAAGGAACAACTGGCCATGTATTTAAGGTGGTGACAGAGGTCGGAGGACAGCCAGCGTACCTAGATTAAATTCCTTTATATTGATTCATGGTTAAATATAGACAAAACCAGCATAAATTTAGCCCTGTTTAACAGCTTATTGCAAAAAAGCCAAAAGTAAAAGTAAGAGCAGCTTCGCCAGCAGACACAGAGTTTAAAAAGGGAGTCCCAGAAACAGCAAGAGAAGCCAGTTTTGCAGGAGCCGCCAGAGATAATAGAAATTCTTTCTCCGTATGTCCCAGCCTACCCCGCTTTACCGAGGCCAACACCCCCTCAGAAACGAGATTCAGGAGCTAACACGCCCCAGGTCTCACCTCGAAGGGGAGGATCAGAGCCTCCAGAGGCCAAGGAAGAAAGTCAACATAGTCAAGTGCGCCGTCTCAGATCTGGTCTTGCTGGAGCTATGCAAATGCCTCTTAGGGAGACGCGAGGACTATATACTGATTCTCAGTAGCCTCAGGGTTAAATGGGGTGTAAAGCCAGAATGCTTTATAGAGTCTCTTATAAAACTGACTTAGGCTTTTGTCAGCTCCTTGAAGCATTCCTGGAATCTTTTTTTATATTACTTGCTTTTTTCTACCAACTCTTAGCCTCTGCAGAAGTGCTTCTCAGGCTGTGCAGCAATGGCCAAGATCAAAGCTGGAGATCTTCGCAGGAAGGAGGAGGAGGAGTTGCTGAAACAGCTGGACGACCTGAAGGTGGAACTGTCCCAGCTACGCGTCGCCAAAGTTACAGGCGGTGCGGCCTCCAAGCTCTCTAAGATAGGAGTCATCCGCAAATCCATCCCCCGTGTTCTCACAGTTATTAACCAGACTCAGAAAGAAAACCTCAGGAAATTCTACAAGGGCAAGAAGTACAAGCCCCTGGACCTGCGGCCTAAGAAGACGCACGCCATGCGCCACCGGCTCAACAAGCATGAGGAGAACCTGAAGGCCAAGAAGCAGCAGCAGAAGGAGCGGCTGTACCCGCTGCGGCAGTACGCGGTCAAGGCCTGAGTGGCCCATTGTCAATAAAGCACAGCTGGCTGAGAAAAAAAAAAAAGTGCTTCTCGGTACCTCTGGAAACGCTGAAGCTGAGTTGCATTCTCTGGGTGTTCTTTTCCCCTTTTTCCTAGAGTTTAACAGGCTCTTTTCTTTATATAATTTTTCATGCGTAGACTAGTCAGCTGCCGGTGTAACTAGAGCAGGGCTTGTTGTCTCCTCAAGCTTCAGCCGTGCGTAGACTGTTCAGCCTCCGGAGTGACCAGAACAGGGCTGTTGTCCTCACCCAATAGAAAAAGTGAGGAAAAGACTTGAACAGGCTTTTCATAAAAGAGGATACTCACGTGGCCAATAAGCACATAAAACAGCTCTCTGAAACCATAGAGGTGCTAGTACAAACCCACGAAAATGACTGAAATTAACAAGACTTACAATACCAAGGTTAGTAAACATAGAAGAAGAATAAAAACTCACACAGTGATGTCTGGGAGTAGCAAGTTAGTACAATCACTTTGGGAAAACAATTTGGCCCACCAGGTCCTACCTCCAACACTGGAGATCACAATGTGGAGGGCACAAACATCTAAACCATATCATTCTGCTGGTGCCACAAATCTCATGTCCTACTCACACTGCAAAATACAATCATCCCTTCCCAATAGTCTCCCAAAGTCTTAAGTCATGTCAACATCAACTCAATCAAAAGTCCAAAGTCTCATCCAAGACTCAAGTCAAATTCCTTCCACCTATGAGCCTGTAAAACCAAAACAAGTAACCTGATACATCAAAACAAGATACATTGGTGGTTCAGGTATTAATCGGCCAAAAGAAAGAGGCAACAGGCCACAAGCAAGTCCAAAACCCAGCAGGGCAGACGTTAAACCTTAAACTCCAATATAATCCTTGACTTCATGTCAGGCAACCTTGTGTGAGGGGTGGGCTCCCAAGGCCTTGGGCAGCTCCACCCCTGTGGCTTTGCAGGGTACAGCTCCCATGGCTGCTCTCACACGTTGGACCTGAGTGCCAGACCTGACTGCCTGCAGTTTTTCTAGGCTCAGGGTACAAGTTAACAGTAGATCTACCATTCTGGGGTCTGGAGGGTGGTGGCCCACTTTCCATAGTTCCACTAGGCAGTGCCCTAGAGGGAACTCTGTGTGGGAACTCCAACCCCACATTTCCCCTCCACACTGCCCTAATAGAGGTTCTCTGTGAGGGCTCCACCCCTGAGGCAGGCTTAGCCTGGGCACCCAGGCTTTCTCATACATCCTCTGAAATCTAGGGGGAAGCTGCCAAGCATCCTTCATACTTGCCCTCTTAACACCACGTGGAAGCCACTAAAGCTTATGTCTTGCACCCTCCAGAGAAGCAGCCCAAGCTGTACCTGGGCCCCTTTGAGCCAAGACTGGGGCTGGAGCTGGAGCAGCTAGGATGTGGGAGGAGTGTCCTGATGCTGAGCAGGACAGTGGCACCCTGGGCCAGGTCCCTGAAATCATTCTTCCTTTCTAGGCCTCTGGGCCTGTGATGGGAGAGGCTGCTTCTAAGATCTCTGGAAAAGGCTTTCAAGGTCTTTTTCCCATTGTCTTAGATATTAGCACTTGGTTCCCTTTTGATCATGCTAATCACTCTAGCAAGTGATTGCTCCACTGGCTGCTTGGATTCTTTCTCTATCACAGGGCCAAACTACAAATTTTCCAAATTTTTATGCTCTGCTACCCTTTTAAATAAGTTCCATCTTTAAGTCATTTCTTTGTTCCTGTACTTGATCACAGGCTGTTAGAAGCAGCCAAGCCATGCCTTGAATGCTGAGAAATATTTTCCACCAGATACCCTAAGTCATCACTCTTAAGTTCGACCTTCCACAGAACCCTAGGATTTGGCCACAATGCAGTCAAGCTCTTTGCTAGGGTGCAGAAGGGTGACCTTTACTCCAGTTCCCATCAAGTTCCTCATTTCCATCTGAGAACTCATCAGGCTAGTCTTCACTGTCCATATTTCTATCAGTATTTGGGTCACAACCGTTTATCCAGTCTCTAAGAAATTCCAAACTTTCCTTCATCGTCTTGTCTTCTTCTGAGCCCACCAAACACTTCCAATCACAGCCCGTTACCCAGTTCCAAAGCTACTTCCACATCTTCATGTATCTTTACAGCAACGCCCCACTCCTCAGTACCAATTTTTTGTATTAGACTGTTCTTGCAGTGCTATAAATACATATCTGAATCTGGGTAATTTATAAAGAAAATATGTTTATTTTGGCTCATGGTTCCGCAGGCTGTACAGGAAGAATGGTGACCACATCTGCTTTTGGTGAGGGCCTCAGGAAGGTTACATCATAGGGAAGGCGAAGCGGAGCAGCATATCACATGGTGAGTAAGGGAATGGGGTTAGAGGGAATGTCCCAGACTCTTTTAAACAACCAAATCTGCATGAACTGAGCAAGAACTCACTCATCACCAAGGAGATGGTGCTAAGCCATTCATGAGGAATCTGCCCCCGTGATCCAATCACTTTCTACCAGACTCCACTTCCAACACTGGGAATCACATTTCAACATGAGATTTGGAGGGTACAAACATCCAAACCATATCAGCACAGAAGGAGCTTATTTAGTAAAACCACCAGAAACAAGAACAGCAGTTTTCCCTCTCACCTACCTCCCACAAACCGTCCTATAAAATATCTCAGAGACCAGAGATTATAACAACTTTGAATAAAAGGCTACAAGACCCAAAATAATGGTAACTTAATTGTTTTGAAAGCTTTGTTATAAATTTGCATAAATACTCTAAATGCCTTTAAGTGAATGAATGAACCTAAAAATGTATATTGATATCACACTAGTTATTTAAAAAAAAAAAAAAAGAAACAAGAGAATATGGGTTCCATTTCTTATCTAGTGCAGTTCTTTCTTCCTTTGCACGCAAAGTACTTCTAGTACAGAACTGGTCACACTGTATTTCTAAATATTTATCTATCTGCCTCCCCCCATTAGATCCAAGGCTACATGATGAAAATCAGTTTACACAAATTAATGTGAGCCTGGTATGTGTCAAGCACTACATTACTTTATGGAGAATCAAAGTGTACAACACACACATGATTTATGACCTCCATGGACCTTACATAAGGTTACAGGATGCTTCTCATAGGAAGTGATGTTTAAGTTGAGACCTAAAGGTTAACTGGCAGTTAGCTAAACAAAGTATGGCAAGAAACACATCCCAAGCAGAGAATACAAGTAAGTCATAAGGTGGGAGGTCGCTCCTATATTCTTTATTTCCACTAGCACTACACATTGCATAGTAAATATATTCCATTAGTGATAATGAGATGATGGGGAAAAGTGTGACAAGATGGAGGAATGAAAGAAAAAAAAAATTAAGTCAATATAGGAGCAGGCCTATTATATCCAAGGTTCTGTGTTTTAGATTGACAATTCACACTTAAATATGCTATTTAATTAGGCCTTTATAAAAATGAAAAATAACCACCAATCAAGGGTCCACCCAGTAGCTGCTTCCCATGACACTCTAAAGTATTGTGGAAGAGAAGCAATTTCAGCAAGTAAAATTTTGACATTCCTCTGCTCTACAAGAAAGTGCTCAAAAGAATAATGTATCAGATAGAAAGAGCAAAGTATTTATTTCCATCACCTTACTTATCCAGCCATTTTCTTCCTAAAAGCACTTCTTGTATTTTAAGAATCCAACAGCAGGGTCCAAATCTTTCTTACACCCACTAACTCATCACTCAGCATAGTGTGAATAATAATACTCTCAACTGTTCAAAACACATACCTTGGGTTTTCACAACAGTCAAAACTCAATTCCTAATTATACAAACATATTGTGACTATAAAGGGACGTAAATAACAAGACTAATGTTTCTCTCTACCAAAATAAGTGTATTAAAAAGTGATGTATGCTCTGTGGAGAAACTGGAACTTGTGTGCCCTGCAGGTGGGAATGTAAAATGGTACAGCCACGTGGAAAACAGTATGACGGTTCCTCAAAAGATTAAAGAACAGAATTACTAGATGATCCAGCAATTCCACTTCTAGGTAAGCAAACAAAAGAACTGAAAGTAGAGTCTTGAAGAGATATCTGTACACCCATGTTCACAGCAGAATTATTCATAGTAACTAAAATGTGGAAGCAACCCATAAACAAGTGAATGCATAAGCAAAATGTGGTATATACATACAATGGAATATTGTTCAGCCTTTAAAAGGAAGGAAATTCTGACATATGCTACACCATCAATGGACATTGAGGACATTATGCTAAATGAAATAAGCCAGTCACAAAAAGGCAAATACTCTATGATTCCACTTTTATGATGTCTCTACAATAGCCAAAATTGTAGAGACAGAAAGTAGAATGATGATCGCCAGGGGACAGGAAGAGGGGAGAATGGAGAGTTATTGTTTAATGGACATATAGTTTCAATTCTGCAAGATAAAGAGTTCTGGAAATGGATGATACTGATGTTTGTACAATATAAATATACATAATACCAATGAACTTTACATTGAAGAATGGTTAAGATGATTTAAGATGATTTATTTTACCATAATAAAATAATTGGGAAAAAAAGTAAAATTTTTCTGTCTAGAAATACACAATTAGAGATCAGATTGAGGACATATCAACTTGCCTCAAACACAACAAATTGGTCTGGTGCCATTTAGAATGAAATCAATTATAACGCTGTGATCCCCTTCCATGATGTGCTGGTTATTCACATTGAGTCACTTAAAATTAATGATCTCATCTCATTTGTGAATAAATGAACCTGTCTTTCCTTCTAATAGGTTAATCTTTGAAGTAAACTAGACTACAAGAACAACTCATGAATTAACTAGTTCTAGAACTCAAAGTTTTAAAAGAGAAAAAAGGTGCTTCAATAAAATCCAAAAAATGAAAAAACAAAAAGTCATATGGCACTGTGGTTTAGATATGGTTTGTCTGTCCCTACCAAATCTCATTTTGAAATTTGATCCCTAGTGGGGTGGTATTGACAGGTGGCCCCAGTGGGAGGCCTTAGGATCATGGGGACAGATTCCTCATGAATATCTTGGTGCCATTCTCTCAGTAGTGAGTTCTCACTCTGGGAAGATGGAATGAGTTCTCAAGGGAATAAGTCAGTTCCCAGTAAAGTGCGTTGCTATAAAGCCAGGACACCCTTTAGGTTTGGTATCTCTTCACATGTGCCTGCTTTCCCTTTGACCGTCTCTGTCATTTCTGATGTGGCACCAAAGCTCTCACCAGAAGCTGAGCAGATGTCAATGCCATGCTTCTTGTACAGCCTGAAGAATAATGAGCTAAACAAACCAAATCTTTTCTCTATAAATCACCAAGCCTCAAGTATTCTTTTATAGCAACACAAAATGAACTAAGACATATAACAGATAGACAAGGTCCTAAGCCAATAGTATTTAAAGTACTAAAATATAGCAAATTCCTATCTTTATTTATTTATTTAGAGGTAAGATGTCACTGCCACCCAGATTGGAGTGCAATGGCATGATCTCAGCTCACCATGAATGAGCTCAAGTGATCCTCCTACCTCAGCCTCCCAAGTAGCTGCGACTACAAGTGCATACCACCACGCCTGACTAATTTTTGTATTTTTTGTAGGGATGGGGTCTTGCCCTGTTTCCCCGACTAGTCTTTAACTCCTGGGATAAAGTGATCTGTCCGCCTCAGCTTCCCAAAGTGATAGGATTACAGACATGAGCCACCATGCCCAGCCTGGTTCCTATCTAGAATTTCCAGTAAGAAATTGTTATTTCTACTGTGTTAACCGGTATTATCTGCTCAAAAATTAACCATAAACTTATTTTTATATTTTTTAGAGGAAAACAAAATTTAAAGGGCAGTAGGGAAGGAGAGTTTACTGTTTTGTTCTTTCCACATTTCTAAAGTATTCCTCTTCCCTGAAACCAAGGCTAATGGAAGAATAGGGTGGAGTTCGCAGAGAACGTAGCAGCTATCCATAGAGTCAAAGGGAAAATTTAGGGCCCTTAAACAACAGGTATTTTATAAAAAGCCAATTCCTCACTGCTATGAACTTGAATATTTATGTCATCTCCAGTATTTGTGTCTTCTCCAAGATTCACATGTTGAAATCCTAATCAATCCCCAA